GTTATAATCTTTATTTATGCCCTAGTATTTCCCTCACGAAAATCTAAACTGCATTAGAACTCTGTTTTACTCATCAACATATCTTCAATGTTTACTCAGTTCCTAGAATATAATAAAAGTTCAACAAATATTTATGAAATAAATGACTATCCAGTATCTATCTGAAAAATGACTTCAAGGCCAGAATTAAAATTCATCATACACACTGAGGTCACAATGAAAGAAAATTTTCAATGTTTGAGGCCCCCTCTCACATCATCTCATGAACTATTGAAAGCACGACAGGAAGTATATATAAATCTAAATAGATACGGTAGTTAATGTTGGTCAATGGTCTTTGACTCAAATTATTTCCCAATGGGCAAAGCTCAAATGATACCTGAGGCAAAATACAGAAGACCTATGAACACTCTGACATCTGAAGTATGGGTCTACAGTGTCGGAAGGATACTAGCCTTTATATTTTGGACTGCAGTAGAATTCATGTAACTAAAGCTCTGAGATGTCATGGGAATCAGGATGCACCTGGAATTCTTATAGAACAGTTGGAAATGTTCTTTATCAAAAATACAGTATTACAGTAACACCTCAAAAGAGACTCAGAGCAAGAGATGATATTATCTCTTAGGTAATCATACTCGATTCCTGGAAAGGTGAAGCCATATATTGCTGAGATCAATCTTGCCTTTAGAAGCCAACAGTGTCAAATGGAAGCCCACAAACCTGAATAGGCTCTACATGGGGGAGATTTTCATATGACTTGATGATGGGCTAATGGTCCACTGTATGGGATTCTGGTTATGAGCAAGTACCTTTGGACTTTTATGATTATTTTTCTATGATGTATCCACAGCCACACACCAGTGGATGGACTGTGACATACAGAAATGTATCTTCAGTCTATGCCTCCAGTTCCTGACACAAATCTCCCAAAAACCCTTGTTATTTCCTGAGTAACAGGGGCACTAGGAGCATCTTTCGTTCTAATGTTTGATCGTTCCTGACACAAAGCTACACAACTGCTGCAATTTCCTGAGTGACAGCAGCATTTTTTTTCTGATCTATATATTTGTAAATTTAGTTTTATTACTTTTAAGTATACAGTACAGTGGTTAGACTTTTATATAGGTTATAAAACAAACCCCCTGATTGCTCTTTCTTTTCTCTGGCTTTCCACCCAGCCATTACATTAATGCTAACTACAGTCCCTAGGCCATGCTCCCCATCCCTGTGACCATCAATCAACTACTAATTTGTACTTCTTTAACCCTTCATCCCATTCTCCCACCCGTGCAATTCCCACCCCCCAGCTGTTACCAGATTGTTCTCTATATTTATGCTTGTTCTTGATCAGTTTGTTCTGTTTGTTCCTTAGATTCTGCACATAAGTAAAATCATATGGTATATATCTTTTTCTGTCTGACATTTCACTCAGCATAATAACCTCTAGGTCCATCCATGTTGTTACAAATGGCAGATTTCATTTTTTGAATGGCTGACTAATATTCCGTTGTATATATGAACCATAAGTTCTTTATCCAATTGTCTGTTGATGGGCATTTAGTTGCTTCCATATCTTGGCTATTGTAAGCTGTGCTGCCATGAACATAGCGGTGCATAGATCTTTAGAAATTATTGTTTTGGTTTTCTTTGGGTAAATACCCAGAAATGCAAATGCTAGATCAAGAAGTATATCTATTTTTAATTTTTTGAGATACCTCCACCCTGTTTTCCACAGTGGCTGTACCAACCAATTTGTAATCCCACCAACAGTGTATGACAGTTCCCTTTTCCCCATGTCCTCGCCAATACTTGTTGTTCTTTAATTTATTGATGATCACCATTCTGACAGGTGTGAGGTGATATCTCACTGTGGTTTTAATTTTCATTTCTCTGATGTCTAGTGACCTTGAGCATCTTTTCATGTCTATAGGCCATCTGTATTTCCTCTTTGGAAAAATATCTGTTCAACTCTTGCAAAAAGTTCAAGAAGAGGGAAAGCTCCCCAATTCCTTTTATGATGCCACCACTACCTTCATTCCAAAACCAGACAAAGACATTACAAAAAAAGAAAACTATAGACAACTATCTCTTATGAACATTGATGCAGAAATCCTCAACAAAATATTAGCAAACCGAATTCAGCAATACATTAAAAATATCATACACCATGATCAAGTTGGATTTATTCCTGGAATGCAAGGTTGGTATAATATCCATAAATCAATTAATGTGATACATCACATTAACAAATCAAAAGATGAAAACCATATGACCATATCAATAGATGCAGAAAAAGCACTGGAAAAAATCCAGCATCCATTTATGATAAAAACCCTCACCAAAGTGGGAATAGAGGGAATATACCTCAACCTTACACTTAAAAGAACTAGAAAAAAGGCCATATATGACCAACCTACAGTTAACATCATACTCAAAAAAAGAGTAATAAAAGGCATCCGAATTGGAAAGGAAGAAGTAAAACTCTCGTTATTTGCTGATAACATGATACTATATGTAGAGAACTCTAGAGATTCCACTAAAAAACCTGTTAGAACTGGCCAATGAATTCAATAAAGTAGCAGGATACAAAATTAATATTCAGAAGTCAGTGATATTTTTATACACCAATGATGAACTTTCAGAAAGAGAAATTAAGAAAGCAATCCCACTTACAATTGTATCAAAAAGAATAAAATTCTTGGGAATCAAATTAACCAAGGAGGTAAAAGACCAGTTCTCAGAAAATTATGTCATTGAAAAAAGAAACTGAAGAAGATACAAATAGATGGAAGCACATACCGTGCTCATAGGTAGGAAAAATCAACATTGTTAAAATGGCCATGCTACCCAAAGCAATCTATAGATTCAATGCATCCCTATCAAAATACCAATGGCAAGAGCATGATTTGTTTTAATGAAGCAACTGTTGTTGGGTTCCTGGATAGCTTCAGGATGGGGGCTGGTCACCAGAAAGACCAAGCCATGATTAGAAGCTGGTAACTTTCTGTCTGCCCACTTGTTCTACAAGGAAGAGACAGGGTTGGACATTAACTTAATGCCGGTCAGGTAGCCTCCATAAAAATCCTTAAACAATGGTGTGGAGAGCTTCCAGGTTGGTGAACACATCCAAGTGTCAGATGGATGGTGACTCCAGTATCATGTGACATAAGCTCCTGCCCTGGGAGCCCTTCCAGACCTCCAGTTATGTTTCTGCATTTGGCTGCTAATTTGTATCCTTTCTGATATCTTTTATAATTAACTGGTAAATATAAGTAAACGTTTCCATGCGTTTTGTGAGCCATTCCAGCAAGTTATCGAACCTGGGAGAGGGTTGTAGGACTCAAACATGGGAGAGAGTTGTGGGCTAATCCCTAACTTCATAGCCAGCTGGACAGAAGTGTTAGTACCCTGGGGACCCATCACTTACAATTTGTGTCTGAAGTGAGGACAGTCTTGTGGAACTGAGCCCTTAAACCTGTAAAGTCTGACACTGTCTCAAATTAGTATCACAAATGAATTCTTAAAATTGGGCACCAAACTGATGTCCACATATTTAGAAAATAGTGGTTTTCCAATTGGTTGGTGCGGGGAGGGAAATAGCACATATTTGGTTCTGAGTAGGGTTATCCTTTACCCATAATTTAAATCATTTCATATTTTTAAATTTATCTGTGTTAACTTTTGATCTTTGTTATGTATTTTCCACTTAAAATTTGCAATATTATAGATACACTGCATTTTTACTTAGCAGTATATTATAAATATTTTCCATTTTATCACATCATATATTTCCCAATCATCACTTCCTTCATCCCATTACACTGAGACGTGGACTTTTATGATCTAATTCTTGCTTTCGGCTGCTCTCAACAGCTGTGCTTCGGTCTGGGAATGCCTGACTACAGAAAAATCTCTGCACTCTTTCTAGTCTCATGGTGATGAAGTAAATGAGGGTAGATTGTTATACAAGAAACATATTTAGTGCAATCTCTGACAATATTTCTAGTTCTTTTAATGGGTTCTAATTTCCTTATAAATGCAGACTGTGGAACTATGATTGTTAACAAATTAATTTCAATGCTAAGAATTAAAAGGTACCCTTTATAATTCCTACAAATTGTCTACATTATGCCAAATAGGACTATATTTTTAGTATGTGTTCAAATATGGATAGACTTCTATCAAATCACGTGACTGTGGTGCCCAGACCTGACATCCTAAGAGATGGGAATCAGCAGTTTTCCTATCCTCATGCCTGTTTTCACATGTCTTCACAGCCCAGATCTTGGGAGTAGAATTTGTTCAAAAGACTGATACAAAGTAACAACTTAGGCTTCATTGCTCTGCTCAAACCTTCTTGGTGAATAACAATGCTGAAGTCATTAGACTGATTTAGACATTACAGTCCATATTAAATGCTTGGAACCAAATAACTTGATTCCTAGAATCAGAGGACTTGAGTCCACATCTCTTCAGATAAACTATTAAATTTCGTTAAGACACAGAATTCTAATCTGTAAATTGAGGGAAATTAATAATTCCACCATTATGGGATTGCTGAGAATAAAAATAGAGAAGCATAGTGGTTTTATACGTAGACTTTCTGGATTCAAACTCTGGTGCCACCATATCCTAGCTGCATGACTTGCAGCAATGTACTTAATGTCTCTGTGCCCCAAATGACTTTTTGTAAAATAGAAATAACGGTACTACTTCATAGGGTTTTGGAGAGGAATAACCCAGTTAATATATGTAATAGCAAGTGCAAATTATTGTTTGCAAGATTAATTAAATGAGAAAAAGTACTTGCAACCTATGGGTATTTAGAATAGTAACAACTACAGTATCAATATTTGGTTTACTAGTGAATATAAATGAGAGTTAGAGGAGGCATAAATTTAATTCAAGCAATCAGTTACACAGCATACTTATTAGGTAGGTCCTAAGTGTGATACAGGTAAACCAAAACTTTATAGTTCATCGGATAAGAATGGATCCTACAAATGTAATCTGACAGTTGCCTTTCTCAGGGCCTCCTTCACATCTCTGTTCCTCAGATTGTAGATGAGAGGGTTCAACATGGGGATCACCACTGTGTAGAACAGAGATACCACTCTGTTCTGGTCAGTTGAGTAGCGATCGTTCCATAGTAGAGAGTAACGGCAGTGAGGTGGGAGGTGCAGGTGGAGAAGGCTTTGTGTCTCCCTTCAGCGGAGCGCATCTTCAGGACTGTGATGAGGATGCAGATGTAAGAGAGAGATATGACAAACACTGTGACCACAATGATGGATCCAGAAGAGATGGAAGGGATGATTTCAATAATGGAGATATCCGAGCAGGAAAGTTTCAACAAAGGAGAGAAATCACAGAAAAAGCGATCTACCTGATTTGGTCCACAAAAAGACAGACTCAATAAACAGTCATTAAATGTCCAAGCATTCAAACATCCACTCAAGTAGGACATCTCCACTAAGAGAATGCAGATTCTGGGGGACATGTGAGTGGAGTAGAGCAGTGGTGAGCAGATGGCTACATAACGATCATAGGCCATGGAAGCCAGCAGGAAGCACTCAGTGGTCCCAAATTTGACCATAGCATAGAGTTGAGCCACACAGCCAGCAATAGGCAGAGAGATACCTTTCCTCAGGAAGCCCATGAGCATGACAGGTGTGACTGAAGAGGATAACCAGATGTCCACAAAGGCCAAATGACAAAGGAAAAGGTACACTGGGGTGTGAAGCTGAGGGCTGCTATTGATTAACATGATTAGGCTGACATTGCCCATTCAAGTGACAATATAGATTCCGAGAAATATCACAAAGAAGACGACACAAAGTGTAGAATCCTCTGTTAACCCCAAAATGATGAACTGTGTCACGCTGGTGTGGTTTCCAACCTCCATCTTCTCTGTGCATTATTCTTGTTGAAGGAAATGAGAATATCCATTTGTTTTAGACTTCTCCATGTTTTGCTACTGTATTGTCACAAAGGCAAAAAAGTTCCTGTGTTTTGAGACAGTCATGAGAAAGTAGAATTAATGATAATATGGGAAGACACAGAGAAATCACTGCAGTGTAATGCAACGATTTCAAGATTCAGTAAAAATGAGAAAAGTATACCTATCAGAATGAGAAAATAGAAAAATGAAAATAATTTTAAAATATTTCTTTAAAATATTATAAAATATTTTTATTTGGGACTTTAGTGACCTGAAAATTTCACTTATATATACTTTTCTTTCCAGGAACTTCAACTAAATAACAATCCTTACAGGCAAATTCTACAGATTTACATATTATATTTGGAAACAAATATAATATGTAAAAATTCACCTACAAACCTTTTAATTTAACAATGCCTCACAATCTATATTCATATAATACTTATTCCATTTTCATGTATTTTAATACTGAAGCATAAGTAGTATTTAGATATTTGTGATATTATATATTCCATTTTCTTAATTTACACTTTCACTTAATATTATCAATAAAGTATTTCCTAGTCTTCTCAGAAATTATCATATCTGAAATGCTGGATGGATTCTATGTCAAATTTCATAGCATGGTATTCATGGAGCTTCATAATCTGTCTCTGATTATTTTTCTAAATATATCTTCCTATATGTGGTTCCTTGCAAGTTTTGTGCTTTTAACAGTCATGTTAATAAGAAAGATTTCTACTCAAATGTTAGTGATTCTAATTTTTATAGAAACACATTTTCTGCTAACAACGTTATTTTAGTTCATAAGGTCTTAAATGTTTACCATGAGTGATAAATATTGGTACCAAATATCTTCAAAATGTCTTAGTATCTTAAACATTTTTTTTTTGTCTTACTGTAGATAAGAAAGCATTTAGCATTTCCAATGGTAGAACTTAGTTCGAATGAATGAATGTGAGGTACAGTGAATCGATAGTTGAGTCCTGCAGCTCATAAAAGAATGGGTCTATTTCTTCTTTGACTGATCTTCATTAAGTGTACTTAAATTACTCAGTGACAGGCAGCTTACTGCCATTGCTGTTAGCTCTATCATTAAAAAAAAATATTTTTAATCTTATCAATGATCCTTCAGAAGTTTAATGGTATAAAAGACACAAACAATTATCTTTCTATAAAAAAATAACTTCGAAATATTCATATATAGCTAACATTCACCACTGAGTAGTACTTGGGCATGGAAAATGATGGTTGCGAAAAGCAAAATAAATCCCTTTGAAGTGCCTCTGCCTACCAGAACTTGTCAGAAGAGCTACAGGAATGATGGATCAGAGAAAGTGGCATAAATAGAAGGTCCAGGTGTTAACAAAATATGTATTTCCAAGCATCCTGACAGAGGTCTGGACAAAGACTAGGTGGAATAGAAAGGTGACTAGAAATGAAGACAAGAGTCAGTGCTACCAGGGCTCTAATCCAACACTGTAGACAAAACAGGTCCTTTAGCTGAGAACTTCAAGTAGTGGGGGGAATACTGTGGAGTAACATGAGTAAGTAAGCAAAAACAAAGCACAGTCTACTGTTACTCAAAATGTAGTCCAGGGCTAGTAGTTTCTTGCAAATTGTTTATTATTATTACATGACATAACAAGGACAGAAGTTGAGGGTAACCATTTATATATTTTTATTGCAATATGAGAGGGTAATTTAAATATGGAAGTTACAGGTCTTTTTATCATTTACTTTCTCAATAGACAACTTCTTTTAGCCATTACTTAATGGTAGATTTGTTAGGAACAGATTTTCTTAGCTTTCTTTCATCTGAAATTTTTTTACTTCTCCTTCATTCATGAAGGCTGTTTTTATCTGATGTAGTATTTACATTTGACAATTCTTTCCTTTTAGTACTTGAAAAATATTCTGCCTCTTCCTTCTGGTTTTATGATTTCACATGAGAAAGTTATTATTTTCGATATTGCTTTTTGCAATAAGTAATAAGCCTTTTCTCTCTGACTGCTTTCAAGATTTTTCTTTTTAATTTTTAGAACTTTACTTATTTTGTCTTGGTATGAATGTCTTTGGGTTTATCTTGTTTGAGGTTTTCTATAGTTCCTGAATCTTTCCTGAAATCTTTGAAATATGTGAAGTTTTCAGCCATCATTTCTTCAAATACTTACTCAGTCTCTCTTTCTTTCTACTCTCCTCTGGAACTACCAGAATGTTAGCTCATTTTTACTGTACCATAGATGCATATAGTGCTTTACTTTTCTGGTCTTTTTTTCTCATTTAGATCAGATGTTTTTATGCATGTTTCTTCAAGTCTATTGATTCTATCCTGTCATTTCACTCTACTACTTAGCCCATCCAGCAAGTTGTTTTAGTTTTTAACTTCACTGACTCTACTTTTTAGTTCTATAATTTTCGTTTGGTTATTTTTACAACTTTATTTGCTGATATTTACTATTTTTTTCATTTGTGTCAAGAAAATTAATGATTGCTTGATGAAGCATTTATCAGATATGGCTTTAAAATTCTTGTTATATGATTTCAACATTTTATTCGTTTTGATGTTGGCATATGTATTTGTTTCTCGTTGAAGTTGTGATTATTTTCCTATGTGCTATGACAAGGGGTTTTTATTATATCATAGACATTTAAGATTATATAGTATGAGAATCTGGAACACAGTCAATCTTTTTTAGAAGGAAGTTCTCCTACTGAGGTGTCACTGCAACAACCATGTGAATGAGTATGTTCACTTCCTGCTGGGCACTACTGACACAACTCTGGCAGAAATGGAGTGCTGACTCACACTGCCTCCTTGCAGATGAGTGAGATGGACATTCAGTTCTACCAACTTCCCTGTTGTCTTCTCCCCAGGGACAGTGTGACACTGATGTGTGTGACTCCTGCCTTCCAGGTAAATTCAGCTCCTTGTTGGGCTCCAAGCGGTTCTCCGGTGGTTCTGAGTTGGAGGCTTGTGTAGAATCCAGTCCTGAATTTATGGAAGTGGTAAGAAAGCCAGAGACTCGCCGCTATGTTGTTTCTCAGGTCCCTAAGTCCCTAGGCATCTGCCTTCATCTTCCTCCTTCATATCTTCCTATGCTTGTTTTTTTTTTTTTTTAATAAAATGGAGGGCCCCAGAAGAATGGTGCTACATCATCTTCAATAGAACCAGAAGTCTGTGTCTTAAAACACTGAAAGATATTTATGTATCTTCTCATTTATTTTGTACCAGAAAGAAGTCCTAATACAAGTTAGTCTGACATATCTAATATAGAAGCCGCCATACTTATTCTGAGCAGAAAGTGTTGAGTAGAAAGGAATATGTCCAACATGAGTCAAGTTCTCTAGGAATGAAGTACAAGTGACCTCTAAACAATGTAGGGGTTAGGAGCCCAAAAACCTTGCACAGTAGAAAATCTGTATATAACTGGAGTGAAAGGTCCCAGGCTCACACCACGCTTCCCAGCCTAGAGTACCAGGCTGGGAAAAGGAATTCCTATAATATCACGCTGTGAAAATCAGAAGTGATTCCATCTGGGTGAGACGAATGTATTTGTTACTAATAATATAAATTGTCGATTAACACATATTTTGTGTTATATACTATATACTTAAAATAAGCTAGAGAAAAGAAAATGTTAATAAAATCACAAGAACAAATACATTAACTGTATTTATTGAAAAAAAATCCACCTATAACTAGACCCTTAAATTTCAAACCTTTGTTATTCAACGGTCACCTGTATTCTCAAAGAACCTCTCTGATGATCCTCAAAAGAGTACATTAGCCTTAAAAGGAGGCAAATTATTAAGAGGATACTTGTGACTTTTAGATTTTGCTTAACTTCTATATATGTCAGTTACATTCTCTGTAACATACAAACTGGGGGGAAAAGCTTCATACGTTTATTAGGATTAATAGGGTTAATACTTACAAATCTCTGAGAACAGTAGTAAACGATCTCATATTCTTAGCTCTTACTGCAATATTCTTACTACTGATACCACTACTAGGAGTAACATTTGACTTCTTGATCTTCTAACTCTCCAACCATGCAAATACATAAGAAAGACATTCATGAGAGGGTAATTACAAGACATTTACAAACTAGGCTGGGATTCTAATCGCCAATTTGAGTTCTTTAGTATAAACGCAAGGGTATAATTGTGGTGAGCATGAGTTTGTGTAATGGCCTGTCACAGTTGTAGCAATATCTGACACAAACATTCAATCACTTGAATTAGCATGCAGCATTCAACAGATAGTGGCCAGGATTCAAGGCCAGCAGAGTCACTGGCTCATGCCAAAGGAAGAGTGTCATTCAGCCATCCATTCACGCATTCATTAATTCTTTCATTCAACTAAGCATTTATGCTTACTATGTTCCAGGAACTGTGTGAAAACAGGAGAAAAAGGAAGACATTGTAGCTGTTTATATGAAGCTTCCAACAGTGCAAAAAAACAAATGTCGAATCTTTGCAAGTACACTGAATATTTTGAAGACAACACACAGGGCTGTACAGAGGGTTAACAGTTGGATTTAATTTTCTCTCCAACCTCAACAAGACTTTCCAGAGGACAAAAAACAGCATTTAGATTGCTACCTACAACATAAGTAGGCGTTATCCAAGTGAAGAGAAATATGCATTTCAGCAAGAGCTACTACATATGAGAGTGTCTTGATGTGGCAAAGAATATGGATTTATTTAAAGATTGAAAGAAGACCAAATGATTGATTCCTAGAATCTGTATGTTTGGGGAAGAGTGGAGATAGAAAGAAAATATGGGCCATACTCATGAGTTTGAAAGCCATGTTAAGGATTGTTACTTTTATTCTAAGGTCGTTGAGTGATATTAATGAGTTAACTAATCTATTTAGGTTTATGGCCATGATTGGTGTATAAGGAATGAATGAAAAGAGTGTGAAAGGGAAGAGGATAGCTAGTTTTAGGGTTCTATTAGTCAGAATTCCCTAGAGAAACAAAATCAACAGGATATGTATACATGTATACATGAATACACACACAGACACACACACAAACACACACACAGGTTGAGAGAGAGAGAGAGAAAGAGAGAGGGGGGGAGAGGGAGGGAGAGAGGGAGAGAGAGAGAGAGAGACAGAGACAGAGACAGAGACAGAGACAGGAGGGGAGTTAGATAAATATTTATTTTAAGGAATTGTCTCACACAATGTGTGAGTTAGCAATTCCATGACCCGAGGGCAGTCAGAAGGATAATTCCAGAAAGAGTTGATGTACTGGTGTTGAGTTCCAAGGCAGCCTGAGGATGAAATTCTTTTTTACAGGGGACCTTGGATTTTTTTTTCTTAAGGCTTTTGACTGATTGAATGAAGTCCACCAACACTATGGAGAGTAATCTGTGTTAATCGTTCTCCTGATTTTGATGTTAATCACACCTAAGAATTTCCTTTACAGTATAATCAATTCTGGTGTTTGGCCAAACCATTGGTCACCATAGCCTAGTCCACTTGAGATATAAAATTAGCTATCGCATGAGTACTACTGTAAAATAAATGTATAAGGCAGTAGCTTGAAATAGAAGTGCTAACAATGAAAATGAAAAGAAGTAGATCAATATTAGCCTCAGAATGTTCAAGGCTGTGTGTAGATTGGAGGTGTGTGCAGGAAGAAAAGGAAATTCCTCAAGGGTTCAGAATCAATACATTTGATTGAATAATGATACCTCCTACTGGGATATGGGTCACTGGATGGAAGCAGTTTGAGGTGGGAGGAGATAATTTAGTTTTAGACAATTTGTGCTGGAAATTCAATAAACAAAAATAATATTGTCGAAAACATTAGCTAGAGGA